AAAAAAAAAAGAGAGAGAGAAAAAAAAAAATTGGGACAATAACACAAAGGCAGCATTGAATCCACCTGGCTGGGCTCCCAGGAGAGCAAAGCTCTTGTGGACACCAGTCAGCAACCCACTCCGCATGCAGAGAGATAACACTGGGCCCTCCTCACACAGAAATTCTCCTATTTAGGGTGTCTCCGACTGCGGCCATCTCTGGGCACAGGGATGTAGGCAGCCAGAGGTGTTGTTTAACGTACCACAGGAGCTTCAGGGGGAGCTATCCGGAGACCCTGCGAGAGGATACCAGCGAAGTTGGTGGTGCGGGAACCGTGCCACAGCAGCTGGCGATTATGAAGCTGCTTAAATGGCTTGTAACGCTGACTCTCTCCTTCACGCTCAATCCTGAAGATCTTCAATTCAAAAAGGGATAGGAGAAAAAGAACAACCAAACAAATAAAGCGTTACCTTCATGCAACTAATCAGATGAAAAAAAAAGTCATCCAATCTGGAATAGACGCTAATGTGCTCAGAAAATTGATCTGGATGGTTTTTAGTATTTGCAGTTTGCTATGTCATGCTAGCAAAAAAGAGGTAGCATTGATCACACAGTACTTGTTATTGATTACTTCTCCACCCTCCCTTCTGCATTTTCATGAGACCATAGGCTCAATTTTAGAGATTATTACTCCTCCACCTCCTTTTTTGTAGCAAATTAAATTTAAATAAAAACACTTGCCCAAAGATACCTCAGTAACCTTAAGATTCATCTTGGCCTAGACTTTTGCTATTCTATTAAATAGCAATTGGTCTATCAAATCATCCCTTCAAAGGAAACTGGATAAGCTACTCAAAAATAAAAAAAATTGTGAACAAGTAAGTCGACTTAGTAGAGTCCATCTTCACAAACTTAAACCCCAGTTTCGCCCAGCTTACATCCACGACTTTGAGATCATAAGCGTTGTGTGTAGCAGCATGAGTGTTTTTCACATATTGTTTAATAATCTTTGCTTCTTCTGAATCTTTGTCAACAACCTGCAGAGGTAAACAAGAGAAGTTTCTTTAGCGTACCAACTAGCAGACTTCTTATAACGTGGTGACATCCACCCTATGCTTGCAACTCTCCAGTTTAAGCCTCCTTTATCATTTAGGTAGAAACTTATTCCCAACTACAGAAGATGTACAGGCATGCAGACAGCACTCAGGCACAGAATGTCTGAGATGAGAAGGCACCTCTGGAAACTGAGATGATTTCCAACTCCCCTGCTCAAAGCAGGCTCAGCTGGAGAAGGCTGCCAAGGGCTGAGTCTCCAGTCAGGCTTTCAACACCTTCAAGAATGGAGCCTCCACAGCCTCTCTGGGCAACCCTTTCCAGGGTCTGACCACCCTCACAGTAGAAAAACAAACCAACTCAAACCAAACACCATCAACAACAAAAGCTTTTTCTTTTGTTTAAATACAATTTTCTGGATTTCAATTTGTGCTCATTGCCTCTTGTCATTGGAAACCACTGAGAAGAGTCTGTCTCTGTCTTCTTTACTCCCTTCCCCCATCAGGTATTCATAGACATTGGTAAGATATACCTTGAGCCTTCTTTTCTCCAGGTTCAAAAGCCACAGCTTTCTCAGCATCTCCTCATACAACACATGCTTGAGTCCCTTAACCACCTCAGTGGCCTTTCATTGAACTTGTGCCAATACATCTGTCCACTTACAGTTTAGGTGATTTGTTATACTCCAAACTAACAGGATATCAGCTTGCATTCGCAGTCACTCATTTCCTTTTATTTCCTTTACCTTAATATCAGTTCGAAGTTTCTCATAGTTGATGTCAATTGGGTCTTTATCACCATCTTCATTTCCACCTCTGAGAAGGCTGTATGCAACCTCAATATCAAGCAAGTTGTCCAACATCTGCACTTTAGCCTGAAAAATTTAAAGGGGTTATTTTACTTGTGCTTTTGGTATGTTCAGAATAACACTGGAATACCCCAAATTATAAATGTGTACGTGAATCACTGGCCACGCACTGCCATCTAACAACACAACAACATTGCCTTTTTTTTTAAAAAAAAAACCAAACACTTAAATATATTAAAATAGACATACATATATATAAATAGATCATCATATATAACATATGTATATGTGTGTCTATGTATACAAGTAATTATATGTATAAGGTATTAGGAGATACATAAACAAACAAAAAGATATTCTGAAGAAGAAGCAGCTTAATCTCATGAAAGCATGAGGTTAAAGTAAATCTTAAAACCTCACATATTCTCTGTGTTAGATGCCTGATATGAGACCTGTTGCCTGCAAACAACATACTGTTTCCAGTCAATACCTGAATGTATTCCAAGTTATTTAGGAGAGGTGGTTTCTTCATCCCAAAGTCATGAGGGATCAGAGTATAGAAGCGGTTGGAGAGGTCCAAGATCTGGGATTCTGAACCACTGTCAGAAACGGCCTAGACAAGACAACAAGCACCAGAGAAAATGACCGAGTAAGATTAAATCTCCATAGGAACAGACACACACAGGATACCTGAGGACTAAACACAGAAGCAGGAATACAAATAGCATTAATGCTGAAACTCTCACAGGACTAAAAAGGGCAATTCTATTTAATTGTTTTGCATGTAGTAAGTCACAGTACTTGCACAGAAATACACAGAATTTCTGGTATGAGAAAAACCTAGTGGGGATGATGTTTCTGGAAGGCAAAATAAAGGCTTCTGGATATGGAAGGGTGCATGCTCTTGGCAAGGTTCTGGTCTCCTCTAACAATTGAAGTAAAATTTCCTGTATCTATGCTTTGCCAGGGAGCCCATAACAAAAAATGGGATATACTGGTACACTTTTGCAAGCTGTTCAGGCAATATTACGTAGGCATTCTTGGAATGGTCCAGATCATGATGAGTAAATACAGTAATGTCATCAAGCCAATCCCTTTCCTGTGTCAACTTAACCTTTATTCTCATCCTCTAACAGACTTCTTTGGGGTGGAAACACCAGCTCACTACTAGATCAAGACACCGTTGAGTCTCATTTGCTCAATTGACATTTATGTCTGGCTCAGCCTGAAGTTTGTGCTACAAAAGTGTGAAAGATGTAAGTACTGCCCAAACTCGCTCAGCCTGAAGTTTGTGCTACAAAAGTGCAAAAGATGTAAGTACTGCCCAAACTGGTACCACAGTGAAGAGAACTAACTAGTTACCCTTGGAAGCCACATCCTCTTCTCCAGTGAGGGAGTGCACAGATCTTTATACACACAGCTGAGAATTCACCCCACTCTGAGCCCAGAACAACTTCTGAATTCCCCTCTTAGCTCTAACATCTCTTTCATGCTCACCTGTTTTTCATTAAGGATGGAATATGCACTCTGGATCTGTCGCTTGCTCAGTTTTCCCAATGGCATCTTCTGCAGGTCAATCTGATAAACATTTAAATGATTAAAACAGGATTTCACTACACTGAAAACACTGCAGCATTCCCTCTCTGGCTTCTAGCGAACTAATCTCTCCATTCTGGTAGCACTGACCACACAATGGATGGAAACATTTCAGGCTTGGTATTAACCTCTGTGGATTGAGGAATTATGTCAGAAGGACAGTGCACGCTACTGAGAAGATGTCCTACAAACAAAGGAATACTGCAATAGGAAACTAAGCACGCGTGCTAGGCCAACACAAAAATAGACTTCTAAGTGTCTGGCTTGAAGTTTAATATTAACTTAGTGTCAGATACATTCCTCAATCAGTTCAGTAACCATACATTTCAGGCTGGCAAAGAAGCAAACTGAATGAAATAATTCTTGTTCATAAGATAATCTGTGTCTCTAGGTACAAACTAGACAACCTCTTCCAATTTCACCCTACAATTAACGGTCAAATGCAAAGAGGTTGTAAGATGCTTTGTATTCATTAATAAAAAACCAACCAAAAAAAGCAATTAAGTTAAAAATCAATGTCTTGGTTGCCTGCATTTATCCACTGATTTAATTTATATGTTGCTTTTGTTTGCGTATTGATGGATCTTGGGAGAGTTTTGGATTTGCATTAAATCCTTGCATAGTTAAGGACCACCTGAATGCAAAAACATTCAACAAAAGTCAAGTCCAATGGAGTCTTTTACAAAGATCATACATACATGCTCCGGGCTCTTGACAGTATTCACCACACACCCTGCAGGTCAAACTAGCTTTTACTTAACCCAATGGGTTTAAGATTCAGCTCAAGGACAGAAGATCCTTTGAAACCATGTATATCCTGTACCGTCTGGGTAAGTTCCATATTATTTATTCACTATGGAGCTAGGAAATCCAGCTGTATGCAAATCTTCTCTGCAAGCTGAACTCAGAAGGCTCTTCCAACCTACAGAGACTGGCGTGAAAGCCCTGAAGTGATTTTGCATGGATATTTCCACCCTGTACTGGGCTTAGGAGAACTTTCACCTTTACCTGCAGCTAAGCATACATAAAGCCAGATACTAAGAAAAGTCAAGATGGACCGCAAGAGAGAACACAGGCTTCAAAACTGATCATGTCTTGGGGACATGAGAGGCACAAAGCTAAGATTAATGACCTAATGAAAAACAACTTGCAATAGATTTGTAGCTCCCAAACTTTTGGTGCCGATCCTTTCTTGTTGAGTACCATCTTGTTCAATATTACCTAATTATTAGCTGAAAAATCATGAAGGACATGTAAGAGTAAAATGGGACATTTAACTTGGATGTGCAGAACAGCTGCAGGCACCTATACTAACTATAAGTTATATAAACCTATAAACTAACACATATAAGCACTAACACATAAACACCAACAGCTATAAACTAACACATCTCCCAATAACGTGATTTAGGAGTACAGCTCCTATAGAGCCCACAAATAGCCAAAGGGCTGGAGTTTGCGTCTCCTATGACCCACGGGAGGTGAGCAGAGCGCTGCAGAGCTAACCTCTGACATAAAGTTAAATTGCATCCAAAGCTTTATCATCAGACACGTCAAAAGAGCACAGCAGCCAAGGTGCTGGGTCTAAAACAACAGCACTGCCATTACTACCAGATGCCCTGAGGGTAACATGAAGAATTAGCTCCAAATCACAGATGCGTGCACCAAGACTGTCATGAGAAGCATGGGAGACGTTTGCCTTTCACCCAGGCACGGGGGGACACAGCACTAGAACAGACTCATCCCTCTAACTAGCCATTTCATGTAAGGCAATGACATAGATAATTGTAATAAACTCCTGTATGCTTAGTGAGATAAAACTCTTGAAAGCTAAATTAGAAGCAGGAATAAAAACGCATCAGATAAATGTATTGTTGTGTAATGGAAAGACTAAGAATTTGCTACAGCGTAGGCAGAGCAAGAGTGCCTGGATGGAATAAAATACTTGAGATCAGGCTGAGTAAAGGAACCAAGCAGCCGTTTTCGGAGGATGCACAGAAACCTCTAACTAGGAAAAACATTATTTCCTCTAACGGAAAACAGCTGTTCGGTGGCAACAGTACAGGAAGATAAATCTAATAGGAAGATAGGCCCATCTGGACTCCCAGGTCTGCTATAGATCTGCAGACGGTGTGAATTAACATAGTTTCAACAGCGTTCTACAAAACCAAATGACATTAGATGATGATCAGAGTCTTTAACCAGTTCCAGTTACAAAGAATTATTAATATTTTAGAAGACTTTGATCTAAAGAACCACTGAAGATACAGGAGAACACAATTAACCCAAGGTACTACAAAATGTTGGGCAAGCCACCTGAAAGCTTTCAGATAAGCAGTACGAAATGGTGCAAGGCCTGTTTTGAAAAGTAGATACACAAAATGCCGACACAGAGAGCAAAACAACAGCTGCTTACATATGAAGTCTTAGGGCAGCATAACTAAGCTGGCTGAAGAAAACTGAAGTTTTTTATTTAGAATTAACCTAGTTTGAATGGCTGCATTAAAAAACCCCTGCAGGATCTCTGAACACCAGTAAAACTGTTTCTATGGAGGGAGAGACAGATGATACCACCAGACCACTCTCTGAAAGCTTGTTAGAAGCATGGATCAAGAAGTATGGAGGAAAGAAGAATGGATGAAAACAGGGTATCATTAGAACAAATGACAAATACAACAACCAACCAAATAAATCTCAAGTTTGGCCCTGTTCAGTAGAGGATCTGCGTCAAGGCACTTCACTAGTGCTGCATGCTCACTTGCTACCTAAATTAGTGGTAGTGCTGCCCCCTCTCAGAATGTGGTTCACCGCTCACAAAAAGAAGTGCTTCCAGCCTCACATAACCAGCAAACTGGTTATCTGTGTTTATATTTTAACAGTATTCCGCAAACAGTGGTCACAATGCATGTGTCACTGGAAAAAAACAAACAAAACCAAAAACCAAACATAGGATGATTACTGATCCCAGGACTGGCAGACAAATTTCTCATAGGCTTGTTAAAGTGAAGACAGACTGAAGAAAAAAGATAATGCACCCATATTTTAAAAAACTGCACATATCATAACTAAATTACTACCTCCAGCGCTTGGCAAATTCTGGTCAGACTCCTGCCCTTATTTTAAGGCTGATCTAAAACTCGCACTGACTTCTGGGAAGTATGATGCACCTTGGATTGCAAAGAACTTGCTTCTGGCTGTGTAAGTATGATGGAGGGTTAGAAGTGAGAAACGTGAACGTGTGTAGTCACCTCAAATTCCACCATCGCTTTCTTCATGCTCTCCACATCAAAGATCATCTTAATAAGGTCTTGGATTGGCTTAGCAAGTTTTGATTTCGTCCCAGCACCTACTGTCAGTTTCCTGACAGCTTCTTCATCCTGGGAGGTAAAAATAGTATCAGAATTAGCAAAATCACAAAGGATAAAAGTAACAGGCTGGCTGCTATGGTAACAACTCAAAACCAATTTAGTGTATGCATACTATGACTAGCTTGAAGTTCATGGGGAGCGTGGGACATTGCTCTGACATTTTGGAACAAAGTGGGTCTAAAAATCCAACTATTTGGCAATTTGGCAGACATTATTTCAAGAGGTGAGACTGTAAAATATAAGTAGAATTAAGGGAATAGAAACTCTCTGTACATCTCTGCTTCACCTCAAGCAAAATATTAATTACTTTTTCTGCAAGCTTTCTGCTGCATAGAGACCTTGATATGAAAAAATGACTGTTTACTTTGTTGCTTTTATGACAAAATAGAGATGTAATAACTACTTTCACTAAGTTTTTGTAATAAAAACTGTCATAGATGAGTACAGGAATATGAATTAGCCATAATACCATCTAGATGCTTTCATGGATAGAGCATTGCGCCAATAAAGCATCTGCCAGATGCTTCAGAATATCACTGTACACTGCAGTGTAAGACACTTTGCCACTTCAATATTCAAATTTCCAGAAATAAAGCTAAGCATTGAGTACTTCACAGTGAAAGATGACATCCGGTAATTTGGCCACAGAAAAATGCAGTGGCTTGAAAATATCTTCTCTGGTATCTTTATAGCTATTAACAGCATTCAACTGTTTCATCTGAAAATAGTTTAAGTTATGGGTATGCCTTTAAATAAACACACAAACCCCCCCTGGGCAGAAGGAAGAGAATTCTTATTTAGCCTAGCTGTCTAAATAGCCAAATCTTACTGGCAATGAGTAATTTCTCCTTCTCAGCCTGCTCAATACATGCACTAAGCAGAATGGTGCATAGGAGTTGCTTCAGCGTTTGAGAGTATTTTGGATGCAGAAGACAGATGAGAAGTATCTATTTTAAATAAAAGAAAATTGTGTTTCCAGACAAGATGTATGTGAAATGACTGCCGAATTAAGTTCAAATTAACATCCTTAAAATTACAGAGTAAACAGGAAGGAGCACTAAAAGGACTTCAGACTTGACAATGGAAAGCTACTTAAGTTTCCCAACACATCTGTTTTAATACATGACACTCATTGATCAACAGCTCGCTCTCTGTAGCACAGAGAAGATGCAATAGATGCACCTGCACTTCATTCCTCAGGTTTGTTAAGTGTAAGTGACTCACGAGTGAGTGCAGAACAGAACAGCTATAGCAAAGCAAAGCAGCTAAGCAATGCTCCACCTGGTACACGGACATTTCGGAGTTACCTGTCCATAATCTATTTCCAGCGGGTAGAATTTTTTGGGATATTTAGTGAAGTTCTTTGAATGCCAAGAATTGCCAGTTTTCTCTTCATACAAGTTCAGGAAGTGCTCAACGGCATCTTCTTTTGATGGCATCTGCTCCAGCTTGTTACTCCCAATTACAGTGCCCACGCGACCCCAAGATCTGAACACCCAGTATCTAGAGAAGTGAAACGTAAGAAAAGAACAGACATAAGATACTCTGACTCTAGATCTCAGTCCAAATGAACCTGACCCTGCAATAACCATGCAACTGCATGCAAATCAGCCATTTGCGTACCATTAATTTTATGGAAGACATTCTCTACCAGCGACTGCAGGAGAGCAACAGAAGAGCCACCACAAAGCCTATGTCCAAGAACTGGTGTGAAAAAATGCCCAGTGTTAACACACCAGACCTACAGTCCTGAGGATAAACGTGTGCACAGCAGGAAAAGAGAGGCTAACATCTCTTCAGTCTTAATGTTTCGCAAATACGAATCTTCAGACTATTGGGGTCATATATTTGAAAAACAAATACAATGCATCTTTAAGTCTCAGGTCCCAGACTTCACATTTTTAGAAAAACCAGAAGTAACTCAAGTATTTGTATTACTGACACCACCTTGGGTGAGCTTCTGTTGTATTTATAGGGACACAATCAATCACCCTTTCCAATATGTCAGGCACAAAACGCAGGCACCGAGATCCCTCCGTGTACTGAATCACAGATCCAGATACAAACCCCCCACAGAAGAGCCAGCAACAAAAGCTTATTATGAACATGGTAAAGTGCAATAAATCCAGAGCTGAACCAGGGTTGCTGCTGACAGTCGTTAGCTGCTCCCCTGGATTTCTGTGCATCCCTTTTGTGCTGGGGGCGGGGGGGGCGCGTGGGGCAGTTTAATTTTAAGGAACTCTCTCAATTTCTTTATCTATTCAGTAATGCAACTCCTGGACAGCTCTGCTATGCATTTGATGAGACTGGAAAGCTAAACACATGATCATTCAGCACTGACTATTTCAGTGCATTTTGCTAAGCCTCAGAGCACGCAATTCAGGACTACATTGTGGTAGAATAGCCAGAATCTGGTTTTGTTTCCCAAGGTTACAGCTCTGCAATTAGAACACAAGAGTAAGTTGGAGAATATGGGAAAGATTCCTGACATCGTTGACTGTATGTGTGGGGTCTTGGTGTTAGAACAGAGGAACCTCCACCAAATTCTGCTTCTGTGTCTTCAAGGGCAGCCATCAGTCACAGAGCACTGTGGCCTTCCTGTTAGCCAATTAATCCAGTCCTAAAGATACCAACTGTACGTGCCTCGCTTATCCCAGGATGCAGGAATGAACACTACCAGGTGCAATTCTGCAAAATTACTCACCTCCCAACTTAGGTTTTGTCAACACCAGAAAGAAATGTCTCCATGCAGAGCAGAGCTCTCTCCATGCATGGTTTGTTGTTTTGTAGGTTTTGGTTTTTTGTTGGTTTTGGGGAGTTTTTTGGGGTGTGGTTTTTGTTTGTTTGTTTGTTTTAAATAATATACCTATTCTTATTCTCCTCACATTTTACTCATACTTTGCTTTTGTAGATGCCAAAAATTCAGTATTTATTGGACAAAAGTGAAAAAAATTATTTCTAGGGAAAACTAAACTCACCTGTTCTCTCTGTCATCCTCTAGCAGCTGCAGTTTATAATAAGAATTTGTTCCTTTCACAATATCTACTAGGCCCAGGGTTGCACTGAAAATCTTTCCACCTTTTTCAAAGACATGAGCAGAATCCTCCAAACCTACAGAGAAGAAATAAATTACAACACAGAGGAGGTTACCATTTTAGGTCTCCTTCCTGCATTTGTGCTCACCCAAATGCTTCATGAAGTAGTATGACTCTTAACAAAAATACCGCAGAAACAGATCACGTGCTCATTCAAAACTACTTGAAGCATGTTTTCTTTTTATTAAATTGTGAGCGCACACCTTTAGATACACTGGAGTGAACATCAACACTAACTATTAAAAAAAAAAAAATCGTAACTTTTGATAAAGGACCATCTAAAATCTAGTACTCAACACTGCATGACTGGCTGAAGGAATTCTCGAGAAGCGCAGCTCTGCAGGTGTCACATTAGCAAATGGACTGAAAAACCAAAGGCTGGCCTCGGATGCAGTGAGTTCTCAGAACAACATCCATGCACCATAGGTTTGGAGAGCAGCATCAGCTGCGCCCTGAAGAGTCCGGGTGTAGATGCTCATGCCAGACCTGTGGTGTCTGCTGGCTGGGCCTTTATTCACCCCGCTGACAGATGCTTCTGAAGTCGAGCAAGGTGCACGTCTTAGTTTTAAGTGGTCCTTCTGAAAGTTGCATTAGAAAATCCCACAATATCCAGCTTTGGATGTCAGTCAGTATCCTTCCTTTGATAGCAAGAAAAAATGGTTTAAAAATTCATGTTCCTTTTGTGGAACCCTTATCCTTTCACAGAAAAACATTTTGCAATCATGCATCCTGAAGAATGTATGTTGTGCAGGTGCAGCCATTGCTATCACTCACCAGAATCAGGATCTACTGCCGCTCCACCCTTAACTGTTAGCTTCATTTTCTTTTCAGACTTGCTAGGTCCTGCAGTGAAAGAGAGTTCATTTTTTAACTAGGCAGGCAACATAGTCCGACTTAAATCAACAGTTAAATTCTCAGTTTGCATAATTATCACCCTAAGGAGACTTCAAATCAGATTCCCAGTATATGAGCACAATGACTTCAATAGCTTTTTTCACTGGCTTTAGCAGCCAACTCAGAGCCCCCACCCTGCCAATTAAATGAAAAATAACATCTCCACAGATTCTACCTATTTGCTGGCTTCTGGCCCCAAGGGGTGGGCCATATCATTTTTTCACTTGTGCAGCAGATAAAAGTCACATTTGTGGTTGTGTTTAATTGGGATTTAAAAGCCTCACAGGGCATGGGGGGCTTTCAGGTCCCCTGGAGGTGCTACTGCTGTACATGGAGAAGAATGGGTTTTGTTCACTGTCCAACATTAATAATGCAAGCTCTCTATAACACTGGTGAGGAATGCCACTGGTTGGATATTTTTCCTCCTCCATTAAAAAACCCCCCCAAACCAACATTATGTTCTAAACCAACTAGAACAAAGACCCGTTGCTGTGGACCCCGCTATTTTCTCACTTGCTAACACCCCTTGGGGGTCACAGTAGTGTATGTCACATCTTGGTGCCCCAGGACCTCCTAGGAGCTGCAACACTGACCAAAACTAGCAGAGAAGCTGACGTGTTACGAGGAAGAGACTGGACTGATGTCAGGGAGCCTGGGCACAGACAGCACAGAAGATGTCTGAAGCAAGACTGAACTACAGGAAACAAGACCCAGCTCAGAAGACAGCTTCATGTTTACTTAAAGTTAGTCTTGCCCTGAGGTCTCATTATTTAAATTATGAGAAGAAGGACAGAGAACTCAAGGAAAGGGCAAGGATAGACTATATTCAGGTTTTCTTGGTGTATGCACAGCATCGAACAGGCCTGCAGAGAAACAACTACTTTGTTCTTCACCTTGTTCTTCTTTGACCTTCCCAGCACTCTTCATACTTGGGGGCTTGCTGCACTTCCCATCCACAGCCATTTCCTCATGCTCCATTTTCACCTCCGCACCCCACGGTGAAAGCGCATGCAGAGACACAAGCTCCTGAAAGTCCTTGCTGGAGGATTTCACATCCTGAAGAAACTCTTCTGAGACCACGCGGACTTTGGCCTCCTTCACTTCTTCCATCTTCTTGCTCATTTTGTCCACATCCTCTGCAGAGGCAGGGTGGGAAACAGAGGGGAAAAAAAAAGTGTCAGTGAGGTTTCAGGCTTTAGCCCTTCCCTCTGGCTTTGACTCAGGGCTCTGTAACACTTTGTGGAAACACAATTCCACCACACTGTGGATTCACCATGTTCTTTGGAGAGCAAAATCCCCATCAGCTCAGAGCTGCAGCCTGGGCTAAAGCAGGAACAGAACACTCCTGTTTTAGCTGGCTCATCGAGCTCTCCCCTTCCCGGAGCTGGGCTGGGGCAGTACAGTCCCTCTTGGACCTCCTGGCAGGTGGGAGCAGATCTCCGACCTCAGCAGCCAGTTTGCACCTCAACTCCAACAGGGAGCAAGAATAGACCCTAAGTTGCCAGCACAGAAATAAAAAAACCTGCCCTCAAGCACCCCTAGTCAGCTCTGTGGCTTCTCCAAGGCAAGCATGGACACAGGTCCCAGCACCCATCATCCCAACAAGGGAGGCTTGCACACGACCATGGTCTGCATACAGACCCCAGCTCCAGCTGCTGCAGCCCCACCAGAGCCTTACGGCACAGCCCGCAGGGTTAACTTGCTAGGTAAGTAGAACTCAAACAGCACACATCTGTCTTTACTTTTCCAAGCACACTATGGCCACGTGCACACACAAAACCCTCCCCCTAATCCAAACACTGATCCCTAGACAGCTCTGAGGACGCGTGTCCTCTGTAATCCGCTCAGCTCTGTTACCAGTGCTAGCAGTAACCAAGGCACGGCTGCTCACTCTGTGTGCTGATGCACAGGGTGGCCTTGTTAGCTGTTGTCGTCATCTTTCCTCCCAGGTCCTCCACAATGCTCTTCACCTCCTCCTTGTTCTTTGATAGCTTTCCAAGAACCAGGATCTTCATGTTGGTCAGTGGTTTGTCTAGGGATTCAGAAATAACACAGCATGTTAGCAACAGGCAGAGCCCCCTGGTTCTGGGACAGCATCCCCCACCCTCACTAAAATCAGCCCAGCTGACAGGGAGACAAGGGTCCAAGCAGGTCTGACCTGTGCTACGCAAGTGAAGCTCCCCTTCACCTAGGAAAGGCAACAAAGCTCAGCACCCACCAACAAACAGAAGGGATGGAAGACAGGGAAGATCAATATGTAGGT